GTACTATTAACAGCCCATTTTACAGATGATGGTTCTGAGGCACAGAAAGCACAGTGTGGTAGGGGCACATGGCAGCAGGAAACATGGCAGGCAGGAATTGCAAGCAAGGCAGTCTGGCTCCAGAGTCTTGTTTGTGACACTCTGCTTCCTGTGAATGGGAACACAGAGGAGTACGGATCAGGTATGTTTCTCAGAGCAGATGATGCCCAGGCCTAGTATTGGAAGATGTCAGGAACTTAGCCAAACAGAGAAAGGATGAGCAAGGACTTTGACCAGTCACATTTTCACCAATCAAAGTTTCCAGTGGACTCAACTGGGAAGCAGAGAAGCAAGGCAGGACACATGAGTTCCAGAGACAGAAGGAGAGGGGAAGCATAAGGTGAATCTGGAGAGAAGCCCTGGGACAGGATTGGGGGCATTTATTACTGGGGAACTAATGTAGGGGAGGGGGAGTGATGAGGTTGCAATGACCACTGTAGGATTTTTGCATATGGTGGACTAGTATGAGCCCAAATGGAATTCTCTCTGACTGGGCAGCCATTTCTCCATTTGTACCCCAATCCCACTCAGATCTGTTCTTCTGGTCTGCACTGTGCCACAGGGAGGGTTTGTCCCATGACTGAATCAGGGGAAGTCCCCGGCCTCTGTCTGCTGGGCTTGACCTGGTGGGCATCAGCAAGACACTAAAGAAGGGGAGGAAAGAGAGCTTGGGGATTTCCTCACTGCTCCCTGTGCTTCTGAGCCAGCATGTGTCACTGTTCCTCTGCCACCCAGCTCCTGCCTGTGGCCTGTTTCCACAGCTCCACCGCTGACTGAGATCAGTCACACCTCTTGTCTCCTTAGGTGCAGAAGTGGTGGGTTCCCACTGCTGCAGTTATTGGGTGCACCCTTAGTGGTTCCCTTATCCCTGCTCCATCCCTGTAAATTTTCCCTTCATTAAATCTACTTTCGAGTCACAGTGAGGTGAGCCTTTTTCACCTTACTGATAACTAGTCATGTTGAGAACTTATGATCTGGTGACAATGACCACTTCTTGAACACCTACTGTGTGCTTAGAGCGTTGGATGCATTTTTCAGATAATTCTTACTAGAGCTCCATAAATTATAGACTATGTATATTCATTTTCAAGAGAAAGAAACAGAGGCAGGCACATAGATGCTAAGTAACTTGCACGAGGCTATGTGGGTCTCTTGTCCAGGTCACACAGCTAATCAGAAGCAAAGTCAAAATTCAAATCCAGGTCTCTTGGTTCCGAAACCCATCCTCTGTCTGCTTCTCTGGGTCACCAAGTAAATCCTTACAAATTCTTAATTTGTCTGGCTCTGAGATATCAGTAAGGGCACCAATAATAGAATCTCTAGGGCAAGTGGAGATGGGGTCTTCCAGGGAGGGCATGCATGCATGTTGCTGTGGAGTGGTGGGTCTTTAAATTTGGAACTTTGCCATTCCTGCACCAGTGAAAAACACAATGATGGGTGATTCTCCAGAATATCCCTCACTTCATCACATGCAGTTCTTCTGTGGAAGGAAACTTTGCCCATAAAGAGTTCAAAAGAACAGGAAGCTCATCCCGTCAAGACCCACAGCAGAAAGCAGAAGAGTATATTTATAGAACAGCATTTTATAATTTTCTAAGATCACTTGTGGGCTTATGCACCAAAGCTTAGGAAAAGGCACAGAGTGGAGGCCAGTGGTCAGGGGAACCACCCTGTTTCCTTGGCAGGGCAATGGCTGAGACAGCTCTTCCCAGAGACAGTATGTGGGGAAAGGAAAGGCAAAACCAATGGGAGGTTTGAACATGTGGTCTTTGACTTTTTATTATTATTATTATTTTATTTATTTTGATGTGTTTGGGTGAAATGGGTTCCAGAGCCTCTGGAACTAGGAGCTGCTAGAGCTGCCCATCCATGATTCCTGGTCCCCCTCTATGTGCTTCAGACTTCCTGTTCAGGTCCATCAGCAACAGGAGGCAATATCGATGCCTCTGCCTTCAATTTCTGCAAAACCCGGTCACACTCTAACAACAACAGGAGCATTTTTGCTCCTCACCCTTGTGTTTTTATTTCTTCTTAACAACAACCCTTTGGAGACTTTATCATTATTCTTTAACTCCTAGCATTTTTCTGAGGACAAAAAGGACTAAGGAATATGAAAATGCTTTGCAATAAGGTCATACATGTTTGGCAAGGGTTAACCTTAGTCTAAAATAGCTTTGTGTCAGTGATGCCCAAGAAATGGCCTCTGAGAGATCTGTAGCAGGTGTGGCTGGAAACACGTGGTACCTCTGATTGGTCCTTAGTCAACACAGTGGCTTTTTATTTAGAAACATTGAAAGTAGAAGATATCTGATTTTGTTTCTCAAAATGGGTGGCTGGATGCTAAGACATATAGTTTATCAGGAGTCTCCAACTCACATGAATGTCAAAGTCAGGAGATTAATGCCTGATAGTGGCAGTGAGCTCCTGTCCAATCTAATGCCACCTGACCTTTGTCAGGCAGGAATGAAAATCTACCTCTTTCCCCATGCTGATAGCTATTTTTTTGCATTTACCAGGAGGGATTAGTTTTGGATATTCTTTAAACCTTGGGTAAACTCCTCTAAATATATATCTTCAGGTCTGATAGAGTTTGTGGGCCACCAGTGTACAATCTCTGCTAGTCTGACTGTTCATGCCAGATGGCTTCTATTCCTCTGTTTATTGCAATCTGAGCATCTATCTTCTTTCCTATGCCCACTGGACACCACCCTTCTGCTACCATTTCTTAGCCTAAGGCCAAGGTTACAGGTCAAGGATGCTGGGGTGTAGAAGCTGTAATTGGAAGCCCAAGGTTCAGTCTCAGCTCTGCCACCTACAAATGAGCAAGGGACATGATCTCTCTGATCAAGCCTCAGTTTCCTCATCTGTAAACATATAACACCCATCACACTGGGTGCTGATGGAAAGAAAATGAGGTGGCAGTTATTTAAGGCTGAGCCAGCCTATGCAAGCTGCTCAACACCATAGCTCCCTCTACTTCTCACAAATCTAATGTTCAAAACTGGATTAAAATAGGCAGCAGTCCCTGCAAGAAGTTTTTGTGACCTCTCTGAATCCGCTGGATCCCTTTGTTTTCTGAATTTCACCTTCTCTTGAGTTTAATTCCTTGTACTTTACTGTAGACCAGGCACTGCCTTATAACTTTCTCATAGCAACTGTTTGTAAGGGAGAACACCAAGGACAGGACTCTAATGGACACCTGGCACACCAAATTGGACAACAGCAAAGAAATAGGTGACAGGAGAGTGCTCATAGCAAGAGGATGTGGACTACCAAACTGAATTCTACTTCCACTCCTGGAAACATAATGCAAAGTGCAACTTTCATGGGGAAAGCAGGTCTGACAGGCAGAAAAATGTCCCCTAAAGATACTAGAATCTACCGCTGGGGGCTGTGAATATTACCTTACATGAAAAAGATCTGATCAAGTTAAGAATCCTGAGTTGGGGGTATTATTTTGGATGATACAGATGGGTCCTAAATACAATCCAAGCATTAAGGATGAAATAAAAGTATCGAGAGACCTGACACAGACATAAGAGAAGGCAGTGTGTGAATGGAAGCAGAGAGGGAGATTTGACTAATCCAGAGGAGAAGAAGGCCATGGGTTGGAAGAAAGCAGAAAGCAAAATGAGAGTGAAAAGATGCTCTGCTGCTGCTTATGAAGATGGAAAAAGGGGCCATGAGCCAAGATATATAATGACAATAGTGCAAGATGCTGGAGAAGGTGAGGCTAGAGTCTCCCGTGAGCCTCCATGGGGCGAGCAGCTCTCCAACATTGTGGATCCAGCCCAGTGATACTGATTTTGGACCTCTGGTCTTCTGAACTAGAAGAAAATAAATGTGTGGTATTGGTAGCCTACAAGCTTATAGTAATTAGTTACAGTATAAATAGGGAACTAATTTAGCAAGTGAGGGAAAGAAAAGGCAGAAATAAAGAAATAAGGATGAGGTATGGAACTAACATAGGTGCTTGAAATAATCTTTTGAGAACTGTCGAAAGCTCTGAGTGCTTATCCTGATTCTTTGAACATTTGGCTGATTCTGCTCGGGCAAAGCACTTCCCATTTAGCTTCTGTAGGCACAAAGCTCGAGTTACTGAAACTGCAGAGCTTAGAGTTCAGAGAAATGCAGGTGGAGACAGATCTTAGTCTGCAGCCTACTGCCACCATTTATTGGCTGTGCGATATTGGGCTGATCCTGTAAAAATCTGAGCCTCGGTTTCCTCATCTGTACTAGGAAACTATACTAGAAAGCTATAATGACATTTGTCTTATGAAATAACAAGATGGTGCATGGAAGTGGCTTAGCACACCTGGCACATAGTAGGGAGTCAGTATTCAGTGAATTAAATGCCCTTTTACTTTTACTTCCATTTAAAATTAGTGGGAGAAAGGTCAGAAAGTCTGGGGCAGGGGATGCCCCTGGGCTATTCACCCAGTGTGAAAGCTGCAGTGAGGCTCACCCTTCAGCCCACTTTTTAAGGCCAAGGTTCTAGCTGCTGTCCATGCTGATAGCCTGAGTCTTCTCAGGAAACGGGATCTCTCTCCCTCAGAAACCTGAGGTGTTAGCCCTGAAAAATCCCTCAACCAAGAGAGCAGTTCAGTTGTGACCTTTCACAGGCAAATTTACCCAAAGCTCTGGGCAAGCGGGAAGAGACTAGGGAGCTCCCCTTTCCAAGGGCACCGGGCTCTGGGAATTTCCTCCTGGCCTTCCTGGGCCGGCCCTGGCCTCACCTCACTGAGTCCTTGTGGTTTCTGTCGGTGCAGAAACTCTTCTGCAAAGTTCAGCTTGAGAAGAAGAAGGAACAAGGGTTGGATGTTTTCCCCTCTTGCTTTTTGAAAACCAAGCAACGCTAAGAGGTCCTTTCAGAAACCTTAACCCAAACCAAATGCTTTCCTGACGGGGGCGACCACATTGAGGAACGCCCAGCGACACAGGGAAGGAGCCAGATCGCTTCAGAAATCAAACGGTGGTGCAGGTTCACACGCCACCAGGGACGGGCTGGAATGCTGCTTTGTTTTCGTCTCTGAATTTATAGGCCAGCTCCTCCTTCCCACCCCCAGCACGTGATTTATTATTTTGCAGACCCCGTGGCTTCTCTCCAACTTTATTTCTTTCTGCAGAAATAAACAAGGATTTTACAGCTCCATAATCTCCTCCAAAGTTTGTTTGTTCTTCCCTCTGTACAGCGTGGGCCATGTTTGTTCCCTGGGAAAGTCTCTTCTCTAATTATTTTCACATTTCAACAGCTTTTGTTTCTTCTTCTTTCTCCGAGGTTTAGGAAAAACGCTGACAGTGGATTTGCTTCAGGCTAACTGGTACCGTAAACATTTTCTCCTGGGCACATGGGAGCCTTGGTGACCGGGGGCCATGTTGCCTTTTCTGATTGTGTAACCTGCCAGAAGGAAATTGGAAAACTCGGAAACACCCCTTTGGATGGCTGGAAGAAAAAAAAAATGTAAATTGGTAATGGTGGAAAATCTGCTTATCCCATGCTGGGGACCTTTGACAGCATAGTGTTTCCAAGGTTCAACAACAGCCTGTCCCCAAAGCTTCATTTTGCTTGGGATCTTTCTGCCTCTGAGCACAGACGGATATTTGGTGCATTTTAAGCAAATGCAGATTTAAAACATCTAAGGCTAGCTAGCGTATACTAGCAAATCTTGCATTATGGGGCAAATAATAGTTTATACTAACTAGAAGGTGTGCGCCTCCTCTTGATATTCACATGTTCAGTTTGAAGATGGAAGAATGTTTCTCATAATAGAAACCCTGGGCTCTGAGAGCCATTGAGGCTCAGAAGGAGGGGATGCTGTTTGATTCTCTCCTCTTACATGGCTTTAAGTGCCACAGTGGTTTGTTATACAACCTCTTCCTGTGTCTCTTGGGGCATTTACAGTCTGTGGCTCTAGGAGCTCAGCTCCACATTTCTAGGTTGACCTATTTTGAAGTTCTGAACCTGCCCCTTAGCATCTTACTTGATAACCAGAAGGAACCTTAACCATCCCCTGTCCAAAATGCAATATTTTTTTTTCTCTTCTTCCCACTCTGTCCTGTTCTCAAATCCCCACTTGGATGAGAGACACCATTAATCACTAAAAGTTCTTGCAGGAGGCACTAGGTGTCCAAATTTCAGCTCCCTTGTCTCATCAGGCCTTGGGCCCTGTCCATTCTACCTGCCCCATATCTCAGATATGGAATTTGTCAACTCTTTTCCCGTAGCCATTTGACTCGTGTAAACTCATTGCTTTTCACCAAAACCAATGCTCCCGCCTCCTGGTTGGCCTCCCTGCAAATCTCCTCCCTCCAGTCACCTCCCAAGCTGTGGGAACTTTTTTAACCCCACAGGGATCATTACTTTCCTGCTTAGAAACCGCCTGTGCCCCTTCCCCATCATCCATGCAGACTGGTCACGCCCTCGAGCAGGTTCTCGGTGCCCTCCCTAAGGCAGTTCCAGGTTTTCTACCACTCTGCGTCCAGGGCTGCTCGCCCACCCACATGGCTGGCTACTCCCCAAACACACATCTCACTCTTCCATGCTTGATGGGCTTCGCCGACTGGGGCTGCTCTTCTGCCCTTTCTCCAGCTGGCACACATCTGCTGATCCATAAAAGCCTGATTTGATTCACGTATTAGCCCCTCTGTGAGACCTCCCCAAATCCCCCTCAGTGGAATTTGTTGCTCCCTGTCAGAATTCCTGAAGCAGTACGTAGACATCTTTTCAAAGTACTTATACCCACTCACTCCTCCTCTTCCACCCCACACCCCTACCTGGACGGAGTCTCTAGTGGGCAGGGTTTGAGTTATCCCCACTATTATATTCCTTCTACCTAGAATAGTCTGGCTTATGAGAGGGACTGCAAATGGTGTTGAGAGATGTTACTGAGCCCATTTCAAGGGAAAACAACTCTGGGATGTACTCGAGGTAAAGAGGCCCAGGAAGATCTCAGTCTTGCCAATTGTCTCTGAGTCTTACTCTCCCATGACTGTATAATAGGGATCAGCATCTTTGCTCTGACTGTAGTGCAAGGTTATGAGTGCTGGCTCTGTGAGCCCTGGGATAAGGTTAGGAGTACCAGCATGCACCTGTTTCTGGCACATAATAGGTGCTCAATAAACATTAGTCGAATAAAATGAGACTATATTAATGTCTAAGTCTTATTAAGGAAGGGCACAAACACCTACAGAATATGGACTGTGCTTTACCTATGTCACCATCATGGCTAACAAGACCAACATGGCACATGTGACCACCACCAATACAACCAATATAAGCACAGCTGATTAGACCAGGTTGCACAAACTGTGGACCAAGTGTGGACATCTGGTATGCTTTCTCTCAGAGAGAGAGGCTTCTGCTCAGGGAGAATGAGAAGGATTTCCATGGAGGAGAGGAATTTAGAGCAGCCCTAGGGTCAGGTCGAACTGTGTACTCTTGAACCCTTCCTCAGAGCTTCATGTGAGACCATGAAACTTCCAAGGAAGATTTTATGGAGTCTGTGGTCTAACCTTTCTGTCTTGGCCTCCTTCTTCTCGAACATGGCAGGGAGACCCACAGAGATTGCACATCTGGAGGCAAGATCCTTTCTTGGGATTCCCTCCTTCCTTGCGATTCATTGCAGATGGAGAGAGGTTCTTGTGGTTGGGTGACTTCAGCCCAGTCTCTGCCTGTGTTTCTAGATCTTTTACCACAGTGTTCTCCTTCTGAGTCTTGGTGTGCTCCCAACTCTTTATCTTGCTCTCATGATCTCTTTGCTCCTTTCCCATTCCTCTTACTATGGTGCAGCTTACACTCTTTCTGTTTCTCTTTAAAAGTGAAACAGCTTGTGGATTTCTGGAGTTGGATGAAACCTAGAAGCTCTATAATTAATAAGCCCCTGATGGAGGGAATCTATGTCAGTGTGCCCACTGCCGTGTACCTGACATCTAGCATAGTTACCCTTGGTGGGGACCATGGATATTTTTGTACAAATGCACAAATAAGGAATGTTTGCTTGGGGAGATGGAGGAGGTCAGGGCAGGGACACTGAGCCTGTAGCTCCAGTTTGGGTCTGGTTTTGTTCTAAACCTGAAGGGAAAGGTGTGGAAGACATTCCTTGAGCATTTTAGATTGTCGAGCCTGGCTCCCTATGTGGGAAATGTAACAGAGATCCTGAGTAGAAACTTCTCTCAAGAATAGAGACTGCATCTCAAAGCACCATTCTGGGTTTTATCTCTTAGGAACATAAGGAACTGGGGAGCAGAGAGACCTAAGGAAGCCTGATGTTAGAGGAGCATGTGATGCAGAATCCTTGTCCTCAGAGAAGGCATCACCTTGTAAAGATCTTAACTGCAAAGGGGCCATGCCCTGCATGATCCTACAGCCTGCACAAGTCTCCCCACTCCTTGGGCCCTATGCTACCTGTGAAATGAAGGAGGAAAGCTAGATGTGACCTAAAGGCTCTGCCAGTTTTGAATCTTTGAAATTAGGTAAGGGACGGGCTGGGGATTTGAAAAGGATAGAGGATTCTACATCAAGGACTGTAACACCCTCTCGTTAATCTTGGGAAACTAATTCAATTGCTCTCCTCATTGCTGGCAGTGCTGAAAGTGTCTGAGCTGCATGCTGACTCATGCAGGCCATTCTGGAAGAGCTTTCTGGCCCAGGCAGGAAGCTGTCTTCACTCTGAGCATGGTCATCAGCACATGTGAGCACAGAGCACATGTGAGCACAGATCCTGAAGCATAACTGGTCCATATGGATCACGTGTGAATACACAACCAGTGAAATTCCACATCACGTACAACCACAAAAATGGGATCCTAATTAGAATAAGTTATACTCCATGTATGTATGATATGTCAAAATACACTCTACTGTCATCTAAGTCTAAAAATAAAAAAAATAAAGAAAACAATTTTTAAAAGTGTCCCTACAGGGAATATCCAAGTATTTCACAACTTGAATTGTCAGGAGACTAGTACTCAGTTGTCTAGTTTCTGTTTCTATATCTCCCTTCAGGTGGTCTTCCCACCCACCCCCAACACACACATACATACATCTGACCCCCACTAATGAGATCAGACAGAGTATCTCCCTTGAATCCTCACCTCCCACACAAACGACTCCCAGCATATGTCGCATGCACATAGAGATTCTATATGTTGCACATACACACATCCCTGTCAGCACATTCAGACATTCAATTTTACCCTAGGCTAGCATTTGGGGATAAATAGTGTGGGAATAAGCTCCTCCAAATTTCTCATGTCCTAATCTCTGGAACCTGTGAGTGTGTGATATCATGTGGCAAAAGGGAACTAAGGTGGCAGACGGAAGTTGCTAATCAACTGATGGCTGATTATTCTGGTTTTACCTGGGTGGGCCCACTATAATCACAAGCGTCCTTCCAAGGTGGAAGAGGGAGGCAAAGGGTCCATGTCGGAGTGATGCATGGCTTTAAGATGAAGGAAGGGGCCGTCATTAGTGGAATACAAACAGACTATAATAGGAAAAAAGACAAGAAAACAGAACCTCCAGAAAAGAATACAGACTCCCAGCACCTTGATTTTAGTGCAGCAAGATGTGTCAGACTTTTACCTCTGGAACCTCACATCATTACTTTTACATGACTTTAAGCCACTAACTCATGGTAATTTGTTACAGCAGCAATAGGAAACTAATACGCAGAGAGAGAGAAGTACCCTACCATAGTGGAGCTTTTGGTCAAACAGAGGAGACAGTCATAGAACCAGGGTACTCAAGCACAGAGTAAGAGAGACTATCATAGCCTAAGTCCAGGCTGCTGCAGAATACACAGGAGGAAACCCCCAGCCTACATAAGGTTTCCTCATGGATGACCTACATCAGCAACACCTACTACTGGACCTGCATACACCAGCTGCCCAATAATCTGTTAGAGGAAGGAAGGAACAAAGGAAGGAAGGAAGGAAGAAAGAAAGGCCCAAACTAGAACTCTGTTAGATAAAGAGTTGAGATGGGTGAATAGAAGGCGTGGTAAAGTGTTCCAGCCTGAACTGGTAACTTGGGCAAAGACCTGTGGGCTATTTAAAGAGCTAAATAAAGTTTACTTTGGCTGGGACACAGTGCCACAAGGGGAATGGGGAAAGATGAGTCGGGTAGGCACAGATCATGAGGGACCTTATCAGCTATAATTAGACATTTGGCCTGTATTCTGTGTGCAAGTGGCTCTCTCTTCCTCTTTCTCTTTCTTTCTCTTTTTTATGTTTTTTTCTTTTCTTGGGTTGCACTTTAATTTTCCTCTTTTTTTTTTTTTTTTTTTTTTTTTTTTTTTTTTGTTTATTTTGCAGTCCTAGAGTTTGAACCTGGGGGTGCTTTACCAACTGTACTATATCCCAGGCCTTTTTTCTTTTTTTAAATTTATAATTTTGAGACAGGGTCTTGCTAAGTTGCCCAGGGAAGCCTTCAGCTTGCTGAGGCTGGCTTTGAACTTGGGATCCTCCTGACATGTTTTAAAAGGAGTGTATTTGACTTCATTGAACACAAATAATGCTTATGCAAATGTTTTATCTTCTCTCCTGGGCCACACCTTTGGGTTTCCCCTACATTTTTAGCAATGATTTACCTCAACAGTTTTCATGTGGGTTCACAGGGGTGGTCCAGTAGACAAAGAGTACTGGATCTGTCTATCTGGCGTGATTTTATACCCCTTCATGTACCAATTAGCACTTGACTTCTATAATCCCTCGTTCCCAATCTTCCCAGTGAGACTGGATAGTGCCTACCTATGGGCTTCCTGAGATGATCAAATGAGCTAGCCCACAAAGGACTTCCAAAAGTCCAGATACAGGGGAGATGGGGGTAGTCTATGACCGTATTTATCAAAATCCTGATTTAATTGTTATTAGCTGTTATAACTCTTGTGCTGGTAAGTTCTCATGCCTCTCTAGATCACTCCTGCCCCTGGGAATACCAGTCTTCATTTCTAGAAATGTAACAACAGGGCCTGGCCTGGGGGGGCCAGCAACAGAAGATGCAGGTGGATGGAGGGCAAGGAAGGATGGGGAGTTGGTTCCCTGAGCTCAGGGTTGCTGTTCCTTTCCTCTAATGAAGGCAGCCTCTTGTCAGGCAGCTCCTCCCACCTTTTTGTGGTTCTTGGAGGTGCTGCCTCTTCTTGCCTCCTGAGGTTGGTACGGCAATCGGTCCCTATTGCGCAAGCCCCGTGGTTTCCTTTGCACCTATGACAACGGCCTTTTCATTAGATCATCTCCCAGTAACCCAGTGTGAATGTGCCTTCTGTTTCTCCTTGGAACCCTGTTTTGGGATAACTTGCTTTGGGTTTGGGAACTGCTGGTTTAAAGTCCAATGAGAACCCATAGTGGTCAGGAAGCCCTGGTCCCCTGGTCAGCACTGAAACATTCACTCAGGTGATGGCTTTCTCCTACACACAACAAAATCACTTCTTTTTTTTACTCTTCAAGAAGCTTTGAAAATTTCAAGGAAATTTGTAAGTTTAATGGACAACTTGATCATACTTCACACTAGAAAATGACCCAGGCAGAAAACTGGGTTGTCTCGGGTTTCCTGCAATCCAGGGATCATGAATCAGAGCAGGAGGCTGGGAGGGACATTAGCCAACCAGTGCAGGTGTCATAACACCTTCCCCTCTGGATTCACTCATCGGGTGATAAGTGAGCATGTCCTCTGTGCCAGGCTCCATTTTAGTAGTTAGTATAGGCTTAAGCAAGGCAGGCATACCCCTGCCCACATAGTGCTTATTGATTTATTTGGAAAAGGGGATAGGGGAGATAGACAATTTTAAAAAAGCAAGATAATAAATTCATAAGCTAACTTCAGGTGTTGTGGGAAGAGTGAAAAAGGACCCTGGAATACAGAACGCCTTTGTGGGGGAATCAGGTTGTATTCCTTGGGTAAGGGAGTCAGAGTGGGACTCTCAGAAGAGATGACTCCTGAAGTTAAGAATAAAAAGAAAGGTCTGACCATAGAGGAATATGGGGCCCTGTGAAGAGTGTTTCAGTGAAAGGACAGCCACTGCAAGGTCAGAGAGAGATTTAAGGCATTAAAATGTCTGCCTTGCTTAAGCCTATATTAACTGCTAGAATGGAGACAAAGTCAGGGATAATAGATAAACAAAATGTTATGTCTGAATTGTCCAGGACAATGCCCTAACAGGGGTTACCTTCGAGAGATGCTATCTTTCTCCAGCATCTTTTGTACCTACTTGGAGCTAGTTCAAGATACAAAAATTAGTAATTCATGCCTCTATCTCCAAAACTCTCAGTCTAATACTACTGTATTAGGGAAGATACCTGCATTAGAAATAAGAGTATCAAAATGAGAAAAATGAGTAGAATTGAAAACAAGTGGTAATACTTAGGAGATGATGTTGATATAGATACAGAATTGGATACGGATATGGATATGTATGCACACCTGATGAGGATCTGGGTGCGTATTGGGAAAGTCAGTGCGGTGTGTGCAGTGTTTCTACACCCTCTCCTCTGCACAAGAATGGCCTTAGGCCTGGAACACTTCTTCATCCAGAAATGAGGAGTCCTCAGTCTACACCTGGCTTACCCGCTGGTGTGGCAATATCCCCAGTCGCACTGCTTTAGCTGCTAGGAGGTAGTGCTGGGCATGGGGATCAGAACCCACTACTGGAGCTGACCTGGTGGGTATAGGGCCTATCTGTCTTGTACTTCTAGTACCAAGACAAGGTGAGATTGGCCTTCTACTGATCATAGCAACAGATGCCACTTGTCCAATAAGGTGGTTGCAGTTATATAGATAGAGACATGAAAGGAAGAAGGAAGGGATGGAGGAAGGAGGGAAAGGAGGAAGAAGAGAGTGATTGAATGAGTGAACATGGGAAAAGGAGAGAGAGGTCCTGGGGTAGGTGGGTGAGGGGGGGCTGAAGAGGCCCTGAAGAAGGGAGGTGATGTAGAAGACATCTTCACCTCTGAGAAGACACCAACTGTGCTGGAGTAAAAGACTTTTTTCACAAAAGAGAAGGCTAGAAAGTAAGAGAAGATGGAGGATTTGGAATTCATCCTGTGGGCCTGTCATGCTATTTGTACTTACCCAATTAACAGACATTTGTATAGCACATCAGGATTGGCAAAGCCATCCACAGCACACCTGACTTCATGTAAGCATATATGATTTCTCCAAATCCCTCTGGGGGAGCTCAAGTGCAGAATGTGGGGTCCACTTGCCCTCTTTCCATGTCTATTTTGAGATCAGAGGTTGTTTCTTACACAATCTGTAAAAACTTGAAAGGGTCATTTTAGGCTCTGAAGGGGAGAGGAGTTAGTGGGGTCTCAGTGATGGTTAAAATGTCCCAAGTTCATTGTATTATTATAATATTTGAAAATGTTAAAATTAAAAGATGGAACAAGCAGGAAGGTGTAGAAAAATAAAATTAGTTTATATGTCGAAATTGGAGTGGCAGGAAAACACCAACCTGCAGATTATAATGACCTTCAAAACTTCTACTGATGAACTGTTCAACAGATTCTGTGCATCCTCATGATCAAATTCAATCACAGTTCATTCAACCACAGATGATCTTCTGGTACTATTTGCCAAAGGAACATGGGAAAATACTGATATACACCGCTGAATAGAGTCATAATGATTTAGACCTGGACATGTTTCAAAGCAGGACTGGCCAATTATATTAAGGGGTCACCTTAAAAAAAGGAGAAAATATGTCAATGATGTATCATGGAACATGTGTTTTCAACAACATAATTAGCCAATGAGACTTCCAGGTTGAATTAGTTGCCAATTATGTCCCTAAGGTTACAGGGTGTGGGGTGGACCCTGTGCCATTGTGAGGGTTGAGGGCTGAGACAACTGCATTTTTTGCATTTTTGTGGTTCTCAGCCCAAAGTAGAGTTTCAGATGTGTGGATATTAAGTCACCCCTGCTGCCCTAATTATAAGATCATTCGCCTGTTGAAATAACAATTTCAATGAAAGAGGAAATATTCTTTCTCCAGGCTCCATTCGAAAGTGAGATGGGACACATTTTTTAGTTGTTCCAACAATGACAGATACAATCGAGTACTAGCCTTTGCAGCCCTGGGTCACATAAAGGGACGTTGTTGATGGTGATACCAAGAGAAGGTTGAAGCTCTTTGAAAAAGGACAGACTGGGCTGGAAGAATCCCCTTGTGTTTGGTTTGGTTTAGAGAGTGTAATGATTCAGAAGAGCTTTGAAAATCGGAAGCTGAGTCTATTTTGCTTCCACCTGATGCAATCCAATTGATTTGCATTTGAGGTACTGGGAAGGTGCGTACCTAGCCCTGGTAGATATTGCCCCGTGTCCTGCAAATTGACCAAGGACAGTCCCCCCCTCTGCACTGCACAGGCAACATCTTGCAATGTGCAGCACTTGGGCTAGGATTTCAACTTGGTGTAGGCCACATCACCTGCACATTCATCTAACGTCCATGTCCCTGCAATGTTCAAAATTCCCCCTGAGCTGTTAGACCCTAAGCATCCCCAGATTGGAAGCCCAGGGACTGTGGAGTAGGAAAATATGACTCCATTTTCTCCTTCACACATATATATTTTTTTAGTTTCAAAAAAGCAGGTGCAAATCACAACTGAATTGGAAACCCCAAAAGAAGCCAAAGCAAATCAGCTTAACAACAACAAAAAAAGCTTATTATAGCAAAACCTGGAGAAAAATTTCAGTTGTGGCACCTCGAAGCAATTACTGACTCCCTGGTTGATTTCAAAGCCCCCTCAGGACCGCACGTTGATTGAATTCCCACGACCTAGCCTCATGTGAGGGCTGAGTGGGCTGTTACGAAGCCAGACGTCTGTGGTTGTAGGTAAATACACTGATATCCTAGCAACGTGTAAAACCACAGTACCTCAGGCAGCGCTGGTTTTGCATTTTTAAAATAGAGGAGCAGATTTGAAAAGGGGGCTGAGCAATGTTTTGAGCCAAAGAAGTTCTTGGTAAAAACATTTATTTCTTTCTGGTCATCTTTGGGGGACTCATGGAAGTCAGACTCATCTGCTCATTCAGCCTTACGGTGTCTTTTTGAAATTTGAAGTTTTCTGTCTTTCTTTAAAAATGTAGGAACCCATATTATGCATTTATCTAACTTTCAATGACTGCTTAGTTTCAGGTGCTGTATCCCGGTATGTAAATAGTGTGTTCAAGATGCAGTGGGCAACATCCAGATTGGATCCACTGCCTTCTGCCCTGTCCTTGAAATTGCCCTTTCTTCTGCCTGGACTGCATATCCACAGTTCCCTTGCTCCTCTCTGACCCACAGCCAAGATGCCCATGCCTCTGAGATGCTCTGTACTTCGGTCACACACCCATTTCACATTTTTACCTATAAGGGATCATCCCTTCTTCCAGACATGTTCCTCCAGTCTGGAATAGTTCCTGGTACATGGAAGCATACAATCAATACTGGTGGGATGAATATATGAATGAATTCAAGAGGAAGGTGCAGCACTCTGACACCTCGGTGTAGTTGATGTCTCCAGTGCTTCTGGGCTAAGTTACCTGGCTGAGCCATTCAGCCTCCTAAGACTCACTTTTCCATCTGTAAAATGGAAATATGATCTATTTCACATTGTTGTGAGAATGAGCAAATTCTTAGTAAGTGCTTATCAAAATGACTGCCAACTGGATAGGGCTTCACCAACAGTAGCCATTAGGACAGTTGTCACTAAAACATATCTACTGAGTACCACTATGTGCCAGAAATGTGCTAGATACCTAGGGTAAAAGCATGGTGAGGGTAAGGCCTCTGCTTTCCATGAGCTCCAGACCTGGTAGGGAAGACAGATAAGGTAACAGATGTAAATAGATTGACTCGCAGAACTGGGGTTGTAGCTTATTGGTAGAGCACTTGCCTCACCCATATGAGGCTCTGGGTTCGATCCTCAGCACCACATAAAAATAAATAAATAAAATAAAGGTATAGTGTCCATCTTACAGCTAATTTTTTTTTTAAAGACTGTCTTACAAGTAAGCAGGGATATTAGGAGCACAGGGCTGGTGGGTGGGGGTGGCTGGAAAGGAAAGTACAAGTTGAAAAGTTTAAGCTAGAGTATTGTACAAGGTTTGGTGAACAGAGCCAGGTCATAGCAGGAGGAGGGAAGGAGGGCAGGGATGGAAACCACAAAGGGAAAGGTTGAAAGGGAAGATCTGAAAGTCATAGAGCATGAGAGGGAGTGGGCAAGAAAGACCAAGGGTGGCCTGGTGGAGAACAGCAAGGGGCCCCAGTGTTCTGGAAAAAGAACAAGAGAGCCAGTGTGGTTGGCCACATAGGGGAAAAGGACATGAGATAGAAATAACAGTATGGGGGGCGTGTAAGTGCCATTTGAAGTCCTCATAGATTCTGCCTCTGAATGGATAGATGGATGGACGGATGGTTCCTAGGAACATCCATTCAGGAAGAATAAAGAGAATATAAGAAAAAACAAGATGAGCTCTTGACTCTGAATATTAGGATATTTTGTATTGATAACTCTGTGCTAATAAAAGCAGCATAAGTTCATTACTAAATAACCAGGAATATTATAAAAATAAAAATAAGGAATTTTTAAAATTACTCTAATTCCTCCAAACAGATATAACACCTGTTATGATATTGATATAGGTCGTTCTAGTTTTTTTCTATGTCTTTTTAACTTATGCATCTGTCTATACATCTAGTTATACACACCTTCCTGCATATTAATGATCCTTCTATCCATCCATCCATTCATCCATCCACTTTTCCATCCATACTTTTCTGAAACAAAAATAGTCTTATAAGATACTTAACAGTTGGTATCCTAATTTTTCTAACAATTTATTAGGATAATCCAGCTATGTCTTCCCATTTTTTAAAACCAGATCTGAATAGCTGCATAATATTCCTTCTTATGAAAGTATGACAGTTGCTTTAACTAACTCCCTACCATTTTTTTTTTTGCCATTACCAAAGATGTTTCCCTTGTGCTCTCCTTTTGTCCCAAGTGATAGTGAAAGGGCAACCTTTCTCTAAAGCTTAGGAGACTTAGGAGACTTGAGCTTGATGTGGGGTCATATTGAATCCTCTATCACAAATCAGCTGCCTCCTGAGGTGACATCCCTTCATCTCCACTGTACCCTCTCTGGGGCTGCAGGGAGAATGGAGGTCTTCTCTCACAGCGCAGGTGCATTGGTGCAACCATCGGCGACCACGGGCTGTCCTGGGCTTTCGGGCTTTGACAACCCAGCCCTCCTGGCATTGTCACAGTGCTGGTGATTCAGAGCTGTCAACTAAAACAGCTATGAGGAAACATTTGGAAGGATTTATGGTATGCAGCCGTGACTTTGTGACCCCCAGATGGAAAAGTCTTTGAAATTAGGACTAGTGTGTGGGGCAAGAGGGAGGAAAGAGGCACTTACCTTACATTAAAATACAACACATGCCATTTCCTGGAAGCTTCAAATATTCAATGGCTCCCCATTACTTAGTGGAAAAATATTAAACAACTGAATGCAGCAAAGAGGTATTGGACGTGATAGACGACTGCCTGGAGAGCTTGAAGCCATAGGCTCCAGCAGCTCGTCGGCTTCCCAATGGCTGTGGGACCTGGAGAGTCCCCCACTTTCTTGTGCTTGTTTTCCCCCATCTCTAAAATTTTCATAGATAGATAATGTAGGAGTGTTTGAGTCAATGAGTCAGTGAAAAGTCAGGGTTGTTTCTAAAGTCACTAAGGAGGGACTCCCGTTTGCTGAGGGTCGAGCTGAGCAAAGCAAAGCAGCCCCACTGTGGAACCTACATCCATGAAGGGGACAAGTGGTGGCAGAACAAGAGATAGTCACAGAACTCTCCAGGAGTGATGAGTTCTGTGTTTATTACATCATGGTGGGGATCCTAGTGACGGGTGTCATGCCAGCTTGATTTGGGGGTCAGGAGGTGGTATCCCCACTGCTGAAATGACCCAGCAGCTCAGGTTGGGACAAGTTCCAGGATGGACTTGGGAGAAATGATCGGGGCCAAGCGATACCCTAGCAAGACCCTCCCTCCTGGCAAAGGAGAGCCAGGTGTTTACCTGAAATGTCTATTTATCAGAGGTCCCTCGGCTGGGTTTTAGGGGTTTAAGAACAAACAGGAAAACCTGTCTCCATCCTCACAGGGCTTAGTAAGTGTGATGAGAGTTACCAGGAATGCTTCTGAGAAAATGCTGACAGGAGACACCATCCTGGCCCAATAAGGTCAGGGCAGTCTTCCCGGAGGAGGAGGAGGCACCAGTGAAGCCGAGAGCAGACTGGGAAACCTACTTTTTAAAAAAGGCCAACATAGGGATTGAATTCTAACCTGCCAGTGGTCTGCCTGTCATGCCCCTTTTTGGGCCCCCTTGGGTTTTTTTTGACCCTTGGTTGCTTGCGGGAGTTTTTCCTTCTTTTTTGGGAACCCCGTTCCTTGTTGTTAAAATTCCCCGGATTCCTTGAGTTGTTTTGTTGCGTTGTTTTTCAGGTTTCGGCCCATCCGGGTTCCCTTGGCGGTTTTGGGGAGGCGGTTTGTTGGTTCCTTGTTGGTTGTTTTTTTTTTGTTTTTATTTTGTCAGTCATGAACCACTTTGATGGCTTCTGGGCAGCGTAGACACCCAGACAAACCCATGCAGGTGCATGGCTGAGGACAATACCCCAGTTTGCAGTCACATCATTCTGGGTCTCCATTTCAGACCAACACTTTATGGAATTATTTAACCTCTTAGAACCTCGTTAGAATGGGTGTGGGTGCAGGATTGGGTTTGTTGGGATAATTACAAGATGAATGTTATTCTTCAGGGACATTGTCTGTTCCTAGTAGGTTAGGGAACCTCACAGCTTTCTGTCATTTAAAGAGGTACTTGACATAGAATTGCTGGCTCCAAGCCAATTATCTTCTTTATTTCCTCTGGCCTGAGGGTCCATAGTAAAGAATGGGTGGGGAAATCCCTCTCTGCTTACCACATTCTTCCTCTGGCACAACTGCAAGCCTGGATGTCTTTTGCCTGGATTTTTGCAATGACTTCCCAAAGCACTTCTCTTCCCCAGGGCGTCCCTCTAAGCCTGTTCTTCGCCATCCCTGAGGATATCTTTGTAAGGCAGAGGTTCTTCCTGCAAGGAGCTTGGTTTTCTAAAGGCATTCCAATTCAGAATTCTTTAAAACCTCCCATGGGCTAAATCAAACTTGTCCTGGGATGGAGAGCCTAGCTTTGACTGTCAGTGTGTGAGAGCTGTCCTGGAGTACAAAGTGCAAGCATCTTAGCCTGGCTTACAGCTCCTCCTTGCTATTCCCCAGCCTGGTTTGAAATTCCTATAACCATCGAATTGTTTGCAGTTCTTACACATAAACCATGCTGGTCCTTAGCTCTGTGCCTTTGACCCACCCTGGAACAAGCTTTCCCTGCTGCTCCTCATTTGCTGAAACCCTGCTAGTCCCTTTAAAATCAGGTCAGGCAACTCCTCCTCCATTCTTTGTTCTCCAACATGGGTTATGTCTCTTTTCCTGGAGCCCCAATAATAGCTGTTGCTTTCTCTATCGTTATGACTATCAAGTGGTGATACTTATCTCTTTTTGCCTCTACCTCCCCTGCCAAAGTATAAATACCTAAATGTTATTTACCTTTGTGCCTAGCAAATTTGGGGTGTTCAGTCATTGTTAAATGAATGGGGAAGCAGGGGGTCTGAACAGTGAGCAGTAATCTGAACAGTGTGTGGTGAAAGAAGTGCTTGTATTATCTGCAGGGACAGACATGGGGGTGGTCATCTCCCTTCCCATCACAGGAGGGGGTAGAAGACAATGAAACTCATGATAACTGAGGAGCCCTTGACTTTATCCTTGACTGTTAAAAACTGCCTCCACTCATTGGCGATTCAACTTCTCAAGCCCTAGTGGGGCGGCTGCCCGCACCAGACCATCTCCGCTGCCCACCTGGCTACTTCGAAGTTCTTATAGACAGAGGCCCATCTTGCCTCAGTGGGGAAGCCCACCTGCTGGAAATTCGGCACCCTTCCATGGGTGGAACCTTTATCTTAATCTGTTCCGGATACGATAACAATACCACATATTAGGTGCTTATAACCGTAGACATTTATTTCTCACAGTTCTGAAAGCTTAGAAGTCCAAGATCAAGGTGCAGGCAGATTCCATGTCTGATGAGGGCCCACTTCCTCAAAGATGGCACCTTCTTGCAGTGGTTTCCCCACGTGGTGGAAGAGGAAAAGGAGTTTCCCTAGAGCTCTTTTGTTAGGGGACTTCTATGATTCGGGTCCCTCCAAACATGGGAAAATGTAATCTCCAACACAATAGTAATAAGAGGTAGGGCCCTTAGGAAGTCATTGGGTCAGAAGGGTGTCTCTCTTGGGAATGACAGTATGCCCTTATAAAAGAAGCTTCACCAAGCATTTGGACCTTTTCTGCTCTTCCATCCCTTCCACCATATGAGGACACAGTATTCGTCCTTATCGGAGGGTGGAGTGACTTGGTGCCATCCTGAAACCACCGAACAGCCTCCCCAGCCTGCAGACCCTCCGGGAGCTTGATCTTGGACTTTCCAACCTTCAGAACTGGGAGAGTTACATTTCTAATTGTTTATAAGTTACCCAGTCTGGCTTTCTTTTTTTTTTTTTATATGGAGGCACAAATGGATTAAAACAGGCACTAAGGCCATTCAGAAGGGCTCCACCCTGATGGCCTAATCACCTCCTGAAAGATCTTCTAATTCCATTACTTTGGGGATTAGTTTTTCAGCAGATGAATTTTGAGCAGGGAGTGGGCGTCACACAAATGTTCCAACCATGGCAATCCCTCTGAAGACCTTTGAGTGTGGGGCAAGTGTCCCAGGGCCTGGGTGGTCCAGGGGCCACTGGTTGTCCCAGTGGTTTCAGCTGCTATGAGGTGACTTGAGTGAGGTACCTAGGCTACAAAACTTAAGGAGGGATCACTCAGGGTTGTGCAAGTGCCTCCCGTGACTGACTTTAATTCCAGCCCTGACAGGGCTGACTTTGTGCACCACTTCAAGGATGTCAACATCTGTGACCTTTAGTTTCTTCATCTATAAAACAAAGAGGTCAAACTCTGTGGCCTGTTCAGCTTGCAAACTGCTTTCTAGTCCCCCAGCTCCTGTGACAACTTACCTCTTCCGTCTCACCCACTAGATTGCTCCCCTTTGTTCTAGAGAGGCCTGCTCCTGACTTGACTTTCCAGGACTCAGTCATAAGCCACTCAGCAAAGGCAGTCGCGAAGGAACAACACAACATCTGTTCTGCCCCTTTTGGGTGGACATGCCTCACATTCCTCCCCTCAAAGCCAAATTGATGGGCCCTGACCTGGGGGTGGGGGCCACACCAGGGAGAAAGCACCCTCAAGGGCTGGGCTGCCATTCAGTGCCCGGATGAGGTCAGACCCCACATGGGCCTCAGTGGCCCTGAGGAATGAGAGGTATTTGCCTCCCCAGTTAATCATTTGGAAAAGTTATGAATATCTTGGATCAAACTGACAGAAAAAGGGGCCTAAAGTTTGATTCCTACTTAGAAAAAGTCCACGCAGTTTGTTCCTTGGAATTAGAACCAGAGGACTTTAGAGAGGGGAAGGGAGAGATAATGGGTAGGAGAAGCCAGGAGGCTGGAGAATATGTTCATCAATGTTAGATCTGATACTTGAACCCAAGCTAAAAGCTTCCATCAATCATCCTGAGGACAGACACTCCTCCAAGGGCAGTTCCATTCACTGTTAGATGGCAAAGGCCATTAGAGGTACTTTAACAATGGGCCAAAATCTATCTCTTTGACACTTCCATATACTGGTCCACGTGGATGAGCAACAAGTCAATTTCTCACTCAGAGTTACCCTTAAAACTTTTGAAGGCATTATTACATCCCTCTCAAATTCATGCTTATACAAAGAATTCTTTCTTTTAGCCCTTCCTTGTACTACAAGTTTTCCAGGCATCCTATACCTTCTGGCTCAACCTGGCTCCCCTTTCCTGGAATCTCAGCATATCAGTGACTGTCACATGGAGTGGGGCCAGAACTATATATGGTTGTGCAACTATGGAGAGCCACCATCTCAACTTGCAGATGCCATTGGGTGATGATAGCCAGGACAGGAGCCCCGTTCTGCTGATTCCCAGGTACCAGGGGTTCACAGAGAAAATACTAATCGACCAGCTACACATAAACATACTCTACAACATAAACATTTTGCATGGAAGTGGAATTGTATGTAGCATCTCTCAAGGAGCCCATGAACCCTCTAACCAAATTCCACCCATGGATACAGAAACACTGACCAACTTATGCACTATCAGCTGACCTAAACCAGCAGAAACATACTATTTTAATAAGTAGGTGGTGCTGATAGAGGGAAAGGCCTTGATAAGGACTTGAGCCTCATTGATTTAGACTCAGGTTACCTGTCTTTTCCTTGGTTACTGACAGCCATGTAATTGATCAGTTTTTCTTTATACTACACTTTCAGGAAACACACACCTTTCCCTGGCTTCCCTGTGACTCATATTCTGGAATAAGTTTTACTTCATTTCATATGATACCAAGTTTTTTTTTAATACTTCTTTAATTGATTTTTAATTTTCTCTTCAAGATACACCTTAGTACCATTAAAATATTGCATAATATGACTATAGGAAAGGGAAAGAACTCTATTTTTACTTGTCCCAGTAGTTTCAGCTGCTGCTAATACAATGACATCTGCCAAACTTTCATCCCAAACTTGAATCCCATAGGTGAGTTCCACATTTGCAATGGAACTTTAGGGATCCCACAGGTGCCTGAAATTCACTGC